GTGTGCTTTCTCCTTTGTGCTCAAATGTTTTGTGGAAAACCATTAGAGGGAATAACATTGTGCAAACATTTACATAATAATGTGCATGCATTGTGATGCGACTAAAATACACGCATCCAAAACAAAGTAAAAAAAAATAAATAAAGGACTACATGCTAAGGAAATGAAAGCTGCAGTGTGAAACAGAGGCAGCTGTTAATGTACAGAGAATTCAAAGGCAAAGAACTATTCCCATTTCTTATTTGTACCCCTTCCCATCATTTTCCACTGCCCCTTTGCCCCTCAGAACAGACTTAGAAAGGGGAAGTGGTTGAAATCTTCCACTATGAAATATGGTAACCGTTCAAGACCCCGATACATCACCAGTATTGTAATCCTCACTGATGGCATTTACCCAAACAGATGCAGCTGTCTCAGGCAAAAGATGACCAACATGAAAGAAAGTGGAGATATCTTTGGCCATGGCTCTAAAACAGTGGTCCTACGTCGCACAGTGAGAGGTTCAAGGACGGCTGTTGTCACGATCTTGCAATCAAAGACAGCCTGGGATAAAATTCTGATCAGAAATTTGGGATGACAATCTCACTGTTTGAGTTCTGTTACCACCTACATCTTCTAATCAACCAATAGATATGTAGCATGAAATGACACACTGGTGCTAAACCCAAACAAACAGATGGACAGCAGCTCGCCGTGGAGAAAGGAAAGAAATGTGTGGGATTCCAGCAAAGACGAAAACCTTGTGGAGTTGTGCCTGTGTGAGGTGTCCTCCAGCCCTTACCATGATCGGATAAAGATGGACGAAGCATGGAAGTAAATAGCGGCAGAGTTGCTAGCAAACACTTACACAGACACACCGCAGTATATAGTGCCCACAAAACTTTGGGTTATTTAATGTAACCCTCTATGTTGTGCTCCACAGTTGGAGAAGTAATAACCCGTGCAGCATTCCTACACACTTAATATGGGAAGCTATTGTACGTCGTAGCCTGTGATTCAGTAGGCGCTGTCATCGTACAGTCTGCATTAAGAATAGACCGATACATCGGCCAGCCGATATATCGGGCCGATATAGTTTTTTACTTGTATCAGCATCGGCCGATATGCGCGTGGGTTCACGGATTTATTTTTCCCTGGCATGATTTACAGACAGGCATCCACGGGCAGCTCTGTGTTGCCGGAAGACCCTGCAGCGCACATGCAGCGAATCCTACTGTGTAGCGTAGTTGTTGTTTTATTTATGCTTCAGCTTAAATATTTGTTTATTTTATAAAGACATTACTGGAAGATTTAAGAGCACTGAACTCTTTTTTTTATTTGAATGTATAATAATAATAATAATAATAATAATAATAATATTCTACCTGTTCTACCTCAACTTTCCATCTTGTTTTAGTATTTTTTACTGTTCAATAAATGTTTCTTATTTTAAACTTGAGACCTGTAATATTTGTTATCATTGTGTCATTTTTTTTAATGTAAATTGAGGGAGCAAAAGCAGTATCGGCCCCAAATATCGGCTCAAGAAAATCGGCAGTCCATAATCGGTCATCGGCTAAGGGTGATGGAAAAAAATCGGTATTGGCATCGGCCCTAAAAAATCCATATCGGTCTATCCCTAGTCTGCATACCCAGGTTTATTAGATCCATGTCGCACAGTGTTGCTTGCACTAACCCCATTCTCGGAACCCATCGGCTGTATTTGGCGTCTGACTTCCGGCAGACGGCGATACAGCCTCTGGGGGCAGACCCCCGATTTTTTGGCATTCCAGTTTGATTTGGGCAGAGGAGGCGAATTTCTGTTTCCGACTTCTGTTTATATATAAGTAAATATGCTGAACCATTGCGATGGATTCAGAGTTTGCAGTGACGCCAATTACGTTCCGCATCGTTAGTTTACCGCCCGGACCATTTAACCTGGCAACAAATGCAGCAGGCTCAAACGTGATTGATCAATATCACGCGGACTACAAACAGCCTACAACCGGAAACCAGGGCTCTTCCGCTCTTCTTGCGATCTCCGGGGTTTGCCTACAGACTCTACATTCACTGCATGTAGAGTCTGTATATAGAGACTAGCGCTAACCTTATAAGACTGCTAAAATCTCAAAGTCTGTAAGAGGCTTTGGAGGAGCAGTAACACGTGCAGCATCTAAACTGCTGGACTTTAGTTAAATTACAGATGTTATATGCCATCAAAGGACGGGAAAGTAATATGGAAATATGTGAAATTGTGGGCCTGTCGCGCACAAATGAGCAATAACAATGTAATGTTAGCTAGCTAGCTAGTTAGCTACCGAGACATAAGCACATTAGCAATTCCTTTGGTTACGCTTATTATAAAGAAAAGGACCATAATACATCGAAACAACATTAAACTAAGATATTACGTTTGTTATTGTGGTTTTCAAATCTTTAATAATGTAGAAAATACATTTGTTGGTTTGTTTTGTTGCTTGTGCGGCCATTTTGCCAATGATTTCTTAAAACACTCGTGTGGAGTGTGCCTCTGAAAAACCTCCATTGGCAAGGCCATATATTCCCACCCTACATCCCAACAAAAAATTGGGACTCCCTACCACTAGACGTGAACACGCAAAATGGAGAGATAAGGGCTATGTGGTACGGGCAAGAGGGATTGAGCTTAAGTCCAATTTGACGACAGTTTTGCATAAAAACACCATGCACTATATTTCAAGTGACTAACAATAGTTTAAGCCCACAGTGTGCTGCTCTAACCTTTCAATAAAACAAAGTTATTACTGAGCAACAAACATTCATCAACTGCAGATATCTGAGATTGGTTATTAAATTAGAGCTGCTCTTCAATAACATTACAGTAATATCATGTTTCAACTGGTTGTTATATCAACGACAGAAATGGAGGGCACAGAGAGACGGCCGACAAATGCACTGACACAAACATAAAGCGCTGGCCTCGCTTTAATGGTATGCCCATGAATAGCCAGAGAAAATGGCAACCTAAGAGGCAGTTAAGTGACTTCTCTCTCAGCGAGCCTGGGGCAGAGACACGGGGAAAGAACAGTGAAAAACAAAGCCCTTGTCCTGAAACATGGATGTTTGTGTCCGGAGGACAACTCCTGGCCTCAGGGCCTTAATTTTACTCCATTAGCTGAAGTGACCTGGATGAGATCGGGGCAAACATGCTGAAAGGACATGCTGAGAAAGACAGTGGAGAAAAGAGCAGTGTTTTCACTTTGTGCAGAGGAACATCAGTCTCTCCACAATGGCTGCTGTCTGATGGACTGGCCCAAAGGGAAAACTTTTGTACGTGTGTATATGCGTGTGTGATTATTTCTTTATGTGTGTGTGTTGTTCACATATCAGTCTTTCAGGGCTTGCTGTCAGAGATGTGTGACAGAGCTTGAAATGACCCGCAGAAAGCAAAGGCCATGTTGGACATGGCAAACAGAGATGGAACTCATACTCTGTACAACAAAGATCTTGTCTCCATGGCACTGATTGTGAGTGGGTGAGGGGTTTTTTTTTTGGTCATGTTGCTGTGTTTGTGCCGTGCATGTGCAGGACATGTATGTGTGTGGGTGTAAATAGATTCTAATTATTGTTGCATCCTCATTCTCTGCTCTGTGGTTGAGTGGCCGAGTGTGACAGACACAGCTGTGAGAGTGTCAGTGGGTGTCTTGGATTGGTGCGAGGCAGGAGGACAAAGCAGCTAAGGGGCCCTGCTTGACACACAGCACTGGCCTGATGTCTCCCTCCCTCTCTCTGCCTCTCCCTCTCGCTATCCGAGCCTCTAGCCTTTTCACCCCGCTCTGATTAATGAGTCTCGTCAGGTACCGTCCGTTGCCACTCACGCCAATTAAGACATTAGGCCTTTCCACATGGCTTCCTGCTCTTAAACAAACAGCAGGACCGCTGGGTCCATCCTCTCTCTCACTCCCGGCAGGAACAGAGTCTCTTGCCCAATCAGTGTCCCGCTGACCCAGCGGGAGCTACGCTTGTCCTCATTGGGGAGGACAGACAGAGAGACGGTCCTGAACTGGGCCTGTTAGCCTCCTACGGTGGAACCCAGTGCAGAAAAATGGAGCAATCAAAGCTGAGTGTCAAACAATCCCTGTGTGACAGACAGCCCTCCACCGAGATCTCTTCCTGCTCTCTGTGTCTGCCTGCAGGACGCCGCCGCAGGACGACAATGGGTCTGAACCAAAGTCTTAATTGGATCGACTACTAACTGGCTTACCGGTGCAACACAAGGGAAAGCAAATTACTTGCTTGACTTGATTGGATGCTTTTAACCCTGATTCTCACCAGACCCTTGAAAGTTAATTGTCTCTGACCCTCTGCAGCCCATGTCAAGAAACTCTTCAAACCTTGATTGAACACACTACATCACTCTGAAGTGGACAATAAAACATCTTCCTCCACGATGGAGTGTCTTGTATTTGTGTAATCAACGGTAATACCCAGTCAGTGTGGCTTCAGTGCAAACCTGGCCCCTGGTCTGTGACATGGCCTAATGAGATTAGCCATGGATATCAGCTAGTCACATTATTAAGTACAGGGGAGAGGGAGAAAGATGAGCTCTTAATGTGCAGTGATTCGTTCTGTGTGTCCAAGCGTGTTTCTGTGTGTCGAGGACCTGGGCTGCACGCCTACGGTCTTTATGTTTCTGTGCCTGTGGCGTTCGTAGCCATCGCCTCGCGTTAGAATGCCAGTCAATCAAGTGGCGGGGGCCTGTCTCTCATCAAGGTGCTGTGCATGATTGCCAATGCTTGGATGCGCAGAAATTTGCACCTCCCCGGAGAGAGTCCCCGCTGAGAGGGAAGGACTCATCTGTCACACAGACCACCGTACCAATCCGCAATGACAGATGTGCAGCCTGACTCAAACGGATGACAGCACAAGTACAGGAGGCTAAACAGTAAATACATGTGGAGACACTGACATACAACTGGTGTTAAGTGTTGGTCTACATGTATGGGGATGATAATGAAGGTACAGAAAGTGGAACACTCAGGTATGTGTGATGATTATTCTCTATTTGTCCTTTTCAGTCATAAAATACATTGTTTTAAAATCATGAAAGCAATATTACGAGTAGCATTTAGCAACAGTGATGCTATTTTGCAAAGCACTGCTAAACACAACCTTAAATCTTCAAAATCAAAATACAAGCAACTCAGCTTTTTCACTGGTCCTCTGTGTTTTTAACTTCACTTGAGCCTTCCACAAAAATCTTTTCTGAAGATGTATTTGTTGCTGTGTCTTTCCTGTCTCCATTCATTTTCCTTTGTTGAACCCAGTCACATTTTCATCCATTTTGTTCCCCGGTGTAGTGCCACCAGGCTTTTGGAACTTTGTCAAGTCTTCTGACCTGTAACAGAATGAAAAGGCAGAAGGCAGTTACTGCAGCACTCAGGACCAGAGAAATTAGCAGGCGGAGGGAGGGAGCGGGAAAACGGAGGGAAGGATGGAGAGATGGAGGAGAGGAGAGGGAGGGGGGTGGAGGGTGTTTTCTATGTCACTGCGGTCCCATATTGTCCCCAGAAAATGTCACTCTGCCCTTGGGAGGCAGCGCTCCGAGGCGAGACTCATCTGTCTGACCGCATTTACCGAGATGTTCTGTGGCCAGATCCAGAGGAGCCTGGGAGGCGTCCCACTGCACTTTGTCTGCCCACCAACACCCCTCGCACTGATTGTTTCCAACAAAACCTACAATGGACCTGATCTTTCAGCCACAAAACAGTGTTTATTTTGGAAAGCAATCATGCATTTTAATTTATATTTCCACACACAGCAGCAGCAGCAGAGAACCCTAGATGTAAACTTATTGGGGAAGAGATAGGTGCATTGTACAGCTACAGATAAAAACAATTTCAGACTTCTGAAGACCCTTTTAATACCACTTTAAATGTAGTTTAAGACAAAACTAGCTATGGAAATACATACCAAAAGTGAAATTAAACTCTCTGATGTCAGATCAAAATGAGCAGTAAGGTAAAATGACACTAATGATATTGTTTGTGCTCAAGCACAGAAACAAATAAACTAATCAGCAGGCTGGCTAGCAGGGCCTTAATTTAACAATGCAGATTCACTGCATGATCTAAATGAGTAGAGGGAGCAAATATGCAGGCACTATGGGCATGGAAGGATGACTGAATAGGTCAATGCCCCTCGGCCTTCACCTGCAAAACATCACTCATATCAACATGTGCCAACCAGGAAGACACTTAGAAAGACCACAAAGGAACTGCAAAGAAACACAAAATAACTACAAAAAGGGGCAAAACAACCACAGAGACACAGAGCTACCAAAATAAGATGCATTACGACTACAAATAGATGCAAAACAACACAAAAAGAGCTGTACAGTCTGTGTGTCTTGCTCCTATGTAGAGGAGTGCTGGAGCCTTTTGTGTATCTGTGCCTGGGGCCCATTGTCTGAAAATCTGCCCTTGATTGTGTGCATACAAGTGTTGTGTCAAAGTCTGTTCCCCTGTCGAATGGTGTTTCCTTTCAGATAAAATTATTATGTTTCCTGCAGAGCCAACACCGGAAATTCTCATAGTGATGTAGCTTAAAAGTCTCGTCAAATCTGAATTTAAGACAATTAATACATTCTAATACAGTGGTTCCCAACTGATCCAGCCACAGGGTCCAGATTTCTCCTTAGTCATTGGTTCAAGGTCCACACAGTTTAATATATTCAGCGTCATATTTGCATTTGTCGTTGAGCTAGTTTGTTGTCTCTGTCAAGTAGCTGTCAGTTAGTCACTCACTCTACAGCAGGAAACGTTACTTCAAAATTAAAGCTCCGTGCTGGAATTTTATTGTACTTTTAAAAAAAGTGTGTGTTGACATGTTTGCAAGACACCTGCGGTCCATTCAAAATGGCCCCGCGACCCACCAGTTGGGAACCGCTGTTCTAGGGCCTTTTATTAGTAAATGTGTATTTAATGTGTATTTTAAGACTTTTTAAGAACCTGCGGCCACTCTGATGATAAAAAGAAAACTGACAAGCCATTAAAGTCAAAATGTAAACTATGTGTACTGTAATTTTCAGTCACTCATTAATGGTCAGTATCTTTTAAGTAATTATCAAGACTGGTCCCATCAGTCTGCTGTAATGACATGCAATGTAAATGTAGGCCTGCATCAAAACATAGTTCAACTGTGGAACATTAATGGTCCATCTCATCACCCTGGCTGCCCACCAATGTTATTAGACGTTGATGCTCAGGTTGCGACATCGATTGACCAAAATTCAATGACAGGAAAACATCTAGTACCAGTGTCAATTTGATATAGAATACTGATGACTGATAATTCGAATATTTCGTTGGTATTATGTTGTGCTGTTCAGTTACCAAAGTCCAACATCTTCTTGACACAGAATAACGACATTTAGTCGTGAGGTATGGGGACCAAAACGTCACGTCTGCACGTCACAATGTTAACGTCCACACAACGTAAAATTCTATCAACATTTAAAATATCATCAACCCCATTTTTATTCCAACCAAAATTTAACGTCTGTCTAAAGTAAGAGTCTAACGTCTATGTAATGTCATACTGATGTGCTGTGTCACCAGAGATTGATAGAAGTGATGAATGTGTTTCCTTATTGCCTTCTAATTTTATTGAGCTGGGAGATAAGTAAACAGCACAGTGGCACGGTGGTACAGTGGTTAGCATTGTCATCTTACAGCAAGAAGATTCCTGGTTCAAACCCAGGGTGGGGACCCCCTCTGTGTAGAGTTTGCATGTTCTCCCCATGTCAGCGTGGGTTTTCTCCAGGTACTCTGGCTTCCTCCCACAGTCCAAAGACATGCAGGTTAACTGGTGACTCTAAATTGTCCGTAGGTGTGAATGTGAGCGTGAATGGTTGTCTGTCTCTATGTGTCAGCCCTGTGATAGTCTGGTGACCTGTCCAGGGTGTACCCCGCCTCTTGCCCAATGTCAACTGAGATAGGCTCCAGCCCCCCCGTGACCCCTAAGAGGATAAGCGGTTGAATGAATGAGATAAGAAAATGTTAGAGAAGATGTAAGCTGTTTGATTACAGGCCAATGATAGTCAACCTGAATAGTTAATATAGTAAAAACAGCCATTGTTCATTTCAACAAATACAATGAACGTGAAAACATACAGCTGCTAATAATCCCAGAGGGATAAATCAAACATTTCAGCAATGTCAATTTGTGCAACACAAGCTTTGATATGAACATTAAAACAGACATCAACTCTCATTCTCTTGCACGGGGTTCCTTGAATGGCTTGTGTTCATAAATTAGTACATGAATACATAAATGTGAGTAATCCTCTAATCTAGTACATTTCTGTCATGCCGAAAGGCAAGCTGCGTTTGCTGCGAAGGATTAAAGCAGCTCATTAAAGAGAGGCATCCATGATTGAAACAGGCCAAGAGCTCTTTTCTCTGAACTGAATGGAAGACAAAGGAGCTCAAGGAAATGAATGGTTTATCAGGTCTGGGCAGAACCCTCGCCTTGTCTACCATAAGCCCCGGACACGACATCGGCTGCATCGACTCGGCTGAGCACCAAGATTAAATGGCTTATTGACTGCGACAGGACAGAGGCATCAAAAATGTAGACTTGTGGAAGGAGTCACCTTCAGATGTCATCCAAGCAACAGAATGTTTGAGACACACACAAGGATGCAGGAAGTTTGTATGCCAACATTTGATTTTACTTCCACTAAGAAAGCGAGTTCAAACAGAGCTGCCATGAGTCTCATCGTGCACTTTGATTTGTCGTCTTCTTCAATATTTATCCGGCCTTCAAAAAGCAAAAGAGACCATATTTAAAGTGTCAGTCTACAGTATAACATATAGAAGCAGCTTTACACTTGAGGAATGACACTTTATTAAATGTTGAAATGCCATCTCTTCCCTTCTTTCCTCCTCTGAAAGATTCATAAAGGCCAACTAGTGACTCTGTCACCTCTGAGAGCACGTGGACCTAGCTGGAAATACGATGTGGGAATACTGGCTTGTCTTTGCGACAACTGATCACCTAAATCACTGACATTAGCTCTCAACTATAACTTTCTCCCCATACTTCATCGAAGGGGGAGGACTTTAATAATTTATTAAGGACTCAGGGGCAATGAAAGAATGAATTTTTCAAATGCAGTTTATCTGGCACTTGCAGCTGGGGGCCTCTTGAAGGTGCATTCTGCAGCTTGTCAATATGCTTTGCCCATATAGGCTGTGACATTAAACTAAATAGGTTATTGACTGGCAGGTGAGGTTGGCAATGAGGCTCCTAGAATGCACACTCACTAGCTCACTGACCCAACCTGCTATGGATCAGTGGTCCATAAATCAGAACATAATAGATCCAGATCTTTGCCTTCTGTTTTCCTCTGCATCCTTTATTTGTTTTTAATTTGTACTGATGGTAATCCCAGGGCTCCACTCAGATATACAAAAGCAATAACAGTGCAAATGCCACTGTGTCTCCCGAGGTGTTTTTGTCATCAGCTTACTGTGTGTGCATCTTTTCACAGGAAGTGTAGAGAGGGCATGTTAGTGGACAACCTAAACTTGTAAGGCACTGGCTGATTGTTTCTTGATGTTGCCGGGTTACACGATAGCTTGTAAAGTCACTCACTCAGTGTCAGCACACTCAGTTGGAGACAAGGCAGGAATTAACATTGGGCCAAATGGTCTAAGGGTGTCTCACATGCCAAATATCTGGTCACATCTCATCTACAACTGCATGTCCTATCATTACAGTTTTTAACTATTAAACAAATCAGATTTTTTTAGCTAGAAGTCACATGAACTTTGAAGCTTTAACCAATGGACAGGTTTAAAGTTAGATCAAATTAATTATTGTAAAAAATAGTGAGGGTGAGGCAACTTATACACGGAGGTAAGGGCAAGATTGTCTTTTTAATACATGTAACACATAAAATGAAACAAAGCATAGATGTAAGTGTGCGGAAATCTTTTCTACAAATACACGCTATCGCAAACATTTATTGTGGGTCTGTACTCAAATCCCAACACCCTTATTATCAGCCTCACCAAATATAGGGCACGACACATAACTTCCTGCGTTGTACTGCGTGCTAGCATTGGACATAAATCGTGAGGTAGAGATTTGTCCAATATGGAGGTACTTCCTAGGGATACTGGGCTTAGATATAGGCCCAGTCCCATTTATACCCCTTAAGTCTTCCACTTGGTATTGAGTGCCCTCTTGCGAGATAACTCAACTGTGCTATGTTTATTCTTCTCCGTCTGATGAATCAACAAAGAAGAAATGCTGAAAACAGGAGGCGCCTACGACGTCTTCTAGTTCTGATCGATTTTGTTCGGGTGAGTCGATTTGTTTAAATATTTT